AATGATAATGTAAAAACGTTTTTTTAAAAGAATTACGATGGAGTTTCTTGCTCGTTCTTCTCTATTCGAAATTTGGAACGAGCGCCTAGCTTCGCTGGTAGACGGGACGGAATGACAATAAAATTTTTGACGTTTCAAAAGTGCATAATGAAATTAAGGATTAATTGAAATAAATGCTTTGACTTTGACCAAATCACTAATACATAAAGACGAAATGGAATGTTTTTTGGTATTCGAAAGTGTTTAATTAAGTAATAGGTAAATGGGGTATGGTTTTCGTGAGCGTTCTAAGTACACCGAGTATAAACACGTTATAATGTTCCGTTTTTTATAATATAAAAATACTAATAAAAATCCGCGGGCAAAACAATAAATTCTTAAAATTACATTAATATTATCCCAACCACAAGCTATAATTTTATGGTATGGGTACTCAAATGATTAATATCGATACTCGGTTATACATAACATAAACTGGTTTCAAAATAATAAAAAATATATACATTGATATTCTGTCAATATCATAATATTATTATACCTATCGGATAATAACGGATCACCTAATGCTGAGCAATCGGCGCTGTCCATAGACGCCTGTATTAATTAACTAAAAATTACGAGTTACTTACTCACGGAAATATACTGAGAAAACCTCTACTAGTTTCGAGTTTCAGAGGGACTCTTCCTAATGACCAACGGGCACGGTCGCGGCGATGTCGCCGCTTACAGCTTACTTTAATCTTTTTTTTTTTTTTGAGTGGGGAAAATCATCCATTGACTTCTCTCGGCTTGCGTTAGGCGAAAGGGAGTGTCAGACTCTTTCTGACTAACAACCATCCCGATCCTACTCCTGCACTTCAAACTGGAGCCCCAGCAACCCGTGAGGTCTTCCGCGGCTCCGTATCGGGCATCAGCCTTACTGGGCTCCATCTGGTGGTGGTGGTATGATGGCTCTTAAAGGCGCGCGCGGAACGCGATGCGCCGTACGCGCGGCTCTGGTTCTAATAAAGGTTTTGTCGGTATGTTTATGTGAGTAACACGTACCTAATTTTTAGTACATCTTTCTCCAGTGTAATTTTTAGACGCGTAGTAGTAAAAAATTATTTTGGTTAACATGAGATAGGTATGATGATGCCAAACTCCGTGATATCACTAAAGTTTTCCCTAAACCAAACAACGCTTTATAGTAGTATAAAGAATTCCTGATTATTTAAGATAACAATGGACATAATTAAATTAATATTAACTATTACTAAATGAAAATATATACAACTAAAAATGTAAATAATAATCATAAATGTAATAAGTAAGATCGGTTTAATTAATTTGTCATTATTGAGTTGGATAAATTACGTAACTATAATAATAATTTATTTATGTTAGACATGCAATGATGTGCAATAATGAACAAATGATCTCATTTACATGTAATCTAGCGCATTATGTAATAGAAATATCTTGACTTTCAATATCTATGTATATCTAAGTAATATTAATATTATAAATAAAAATAACTAAAAATGTACACCTTAAAATTACCTAAAAAAATATTTTTTTCCTCAACGCTACCGTGAGGTAGGACGCCCAAAAGACGTGCAGCATTGCCACGTTGAATGGCAATGCCTAATTGCCTAGCCTTTGTCTTAACCTTTGTCCAAGGTAGTAGCCAGCCCTTCGATCACCTGAAGTGTCAACCATCCTCCTTACAATCTTTGCATAAAGTTCGTTTTTTAAAAATTGGAAATCATTAATTGCATCGCCTCCCAAGGTACTGTCATTGAGGTACGTACCAAACATTAAATTTGGAATATAGCTGTCGAATAATAGGATTAAGGCCAGGCTAAAAATCACTGGTCCAAGGGGATCGCCTTGTTGACAGCCAACGGCTGATTCCAATAGGTTGTCCTGATATAATACCTCTAATTAGGTAGGGTGTCTATAACATTGCCAGAGAAAACTGAAAATTTGGGGTACTTCGTTTTTAACTTCTGTCAACAAAGTATCCCTATTGACCGAATTCTTTAATAAAAAGCATTCTTTATGTCAATCTTCAGGATGATATCACCTTTCCTGGAATTCAGGTAGGTCGACAACGCATGCAAGGCAGCCTCGCAGCCCCCTCTCGATCCATACCCGAGTTGAAGGGGCTGGAATTTTTCCGAAAGAAGATTATTATAAAATTTGCAACAAATCTTGCCTGCCATGCGACGATAAGTTGTTCCCACGGCTGTTGTTATTTTTAGTTAATTCAGCATGTCTCGCGGTAATTATTATAAAAAGACGCCTGCATCATTTAAAGTTTCGCCATCCCGTTGATTTTCCCCATATAATTTACGCTAACTGGTCGTTTTATTCACTAATGAATCTTGATGACATATTATTTATTATGTGAAATATGTTCCAACGACAACACTCCATTTTAACTCCAAGTCCATCAAAACCAGTTGAGCAGTTTTGGCATACAAAGTCAACATACAAACACACGTTCAATTCAAACATTAGTAAGGGAGACAATAATTCATGTTTTGTATTGTGATTTTGCTTAATAGCATTAAATTTTTAAAAAAATGATGTAAGAGGCCTTTTTTATGGGATAAGCCGGTAAACGAGCCGACGGATCACCTGATGGTAATCAATCGGCGCCGCCCATGGACAAGTGCGTTACTGGCCTTCTGGGGATTAAGAATTTGAGGATTGTTGGGGCCTATACGAACATCGCCACATAATTTAGCTGTCTTACTTTTTGACATTGTAATCTTTGATTTATATTAGCCGAATAGGCAATCACGCCGTTGACGCGATGACGATGTAGTTTACTTGACTAACACATATACAATAGGATAGATGCCTAATTTTTATTTTAATGTCCGTCTGGTAGATTATTTTAAATCATTAGACACGTATTTTTTATTTTCTTACAGAAACGAATACTTTCGACGATATATTGATTTGAAATGTCGCGTGACGTCACTTTTATGTAGGTACATTTTATACGTAGAAATGACGTTTTAGCCCGCACTCCTAAACTTTGATTCGTTTTACCTAAGTATTGTTTTATAATAGGACAAAATAAAAAAATACGTGTCTAATAATTTTTCATTACCTGACTTACGGACTAATTAGATTTTTAATTTTCATACCCTGTCATCATCCCAATAGTACATAATATTAATTAGTTTTTAAAATAGCCTCAATCCAGTAGTATGGACACAATACGATGAATTCGTTTCCTGTCAACATTCCGTTTACTGAAACTGAACTCGAATACCTAATGTAAATAATTTTTATGTTTTTTTTTATAAACGTCAAGTACCTACGCCATGAATATTTATATCGTTAGTAATTCCATAACACATATCCTGGGTGTCTTGAAGGCCCGAGTGAATAGGTTGCTTATAGGATGACGTGCTCCATCGTAGACCGCATCATCGCTTACCACCAGGCGAGATAGTGGTCAAACGTCAGCCCATCAAATATTTAAAAAATCCAACTATGCTTGTGTCTCGGCCCTCGTTGCGGGATAAGTGCAATGATATACTGCGACCGGTTCAGAGCAGGAGTAGGCAGGGGGTAGGTAGGAAGTTTTCAGTAAGAAAGCGTCTCTCACTCCCTCTCGCCTTACCCAAGGCGGGGTAACCGGAGCTCCGGCTCGACGTGCAGGAGAAGGAACGGGGTGGTTTTTAGTCAGTAAGAGTCTGACACTCCCTCCCGCCTCACCCGGGCGGGAGCAGTCATCTCCTTTTGGGTCTGCCGCGACGTCCATGGGGTGTGTTACTCGTTTAACAAATGGCGATCCTTCAACTTATTTGCCCACATGAATTATTTGTTCTATATATTTGGCTACTATTTCATTAAAATATATATAAAAGACATTTGACACTAAAAAATCATAGAGGTGCCTATTACCCTAGACGGTTTCAAAATATGCCAACAACCAACAACATCTTTTGTAAAGATTTTTTAATTTTTTTTTTCTATAATGTTGGTCATTGGAGTACACATAGTATTAAATACAGTAATAACTTTTCTAGTAATAATTAATGTAGGTATTGTGACTGTCCGTCAGGTACCCCTAAAAATATAAACAAAAGGCATCCCAATGTTTTAGAATATTGACTTTCCAATGAACCACGTGTTAGGTCTCTCATTGTATATTTTATGGTAACCCGTCTCGAAATAACTAATGGGCAATTGAGTTGTAACTTGTTAAATGATCTTTAAGAATACGTGGAGCCGTTAGGCGCACAACACAATACCAAACGCCACATCTGGTTGCAATAATACTGACCTGCGAAAGGTCCCTAGGAACAATTAAGATATTGCACAAAAGATGTCATAAAACCCGGACTGCAGGGGCCTGGGAAAGGGCCTTTGGCGAGGAGATGTTACAAATGTTATGGAAACGAGTGGACACTTACTCTTGGACTGCGGAGACGGAAGGTTGTCTAAGATAGACTAGAACTGATCCTAAGGATTTGGCAACACAAAGTAAATTCAGTGTGTAGTGTGGAAGTCTGGTGAGTAGCAGCGTGAAAGCAGTGAACGGGTATGTGATTGTGGTTTTATTATAGGCTAGGGTTTTATCCTATCTCTGTCTTTATTTCTTTTAACTGAACTTTTTTCTTTGATTCGAGCATCAAGACTTAAATTCTTTTGTATTTAAAACGGTTCACGACTAAAATTAATATGTAACAATATTTACGTATCTAGCTGGTATCGTACTTTTAGCTGGCTTAAAAAAGGAGATTATTAGACTCTTGATTAGACACTTAAAGATTGAAGATTGAGAGATTACTTTCCAAAACGGCAATTAACTTTGCCTTTTCTATGAACGTATATTGGCTGTATAAAAACGGTTATAAGCACTCTGTCAAAAAACACACTGTATATGTAATCTGCATTGTTGTTAATCTAGTTGCGAAGATATTTATCACTGGCAGACCTGAGGCGCGGGCAGTTGGCAACACACCGTAACCGAACCACCACGCACCGTAACCGAAATGAACGGCCTCATCGTACTCGCGTCGCTAGTAGTCGTAATATTTTCTTTAATTTATTATCTGTCGAGAAGAAAACTCAGTTACTGGAAAAAAAAGAATGTGCCGCACGCTGACCCATTGCCAATTTTGGGCAACTACGGGAAATATATTTTACAAAAAGAATACCCGGGAAAAATGATCCAGAAATTGTGTCAGAAGTTTAAAAGTGAACCCTATTTTGGAGCTTACTACGGTACGGAGCCTGTCCTAATAGTTCAAGACCCCGAGATCATTAAGCATGTATTAACAAAGGACTTCTACTACGCTAACGGTAGGGAATCGTCCAACTATTCTAATGGAGAACTCATCACACAGAACTTGTTCTTCAGCGCAGGTGACAACTGGAAAGTAGTTCGACAAAACTTGACTCCACTCTTCTCCTCTCTTAAGATGAAGAATATGTTTCATTTAATTGAAAAGTGTACAATTGGCTTCGAAGATATGCTGGACGACGAAATTAAAATGTCGAATGTCATTGAAGTGAGAAGGATAGCTGCAAGGTACACTATGGACTGTATATGTTCCTGTGCTTTCGGAGTGGAGTCTAACACCATGTCACAAAAAGAAAACAACCCCTTCCAACTCATGGCTGACGAAATATTCGAGTCTTCGAGATACCGGGGCTTCAAACTTATTTTTAGAGCTGTATGGCCATCAATATTCTACCGTATCGGGCTTAAAATATTTCCCTCAACTATTAATAGATTCTTCTTCAAGTTATTGACTGGAGTTTTTGAAAGCCGAGGATACAAGCCATCACCAAGGAACGACTTTGTGGATCTACTTCTGAATCTGAAGAAAGAAGATTATATAACTGGAGACAGTATAAGCAATGTGAAGACAGGTGATGATAAGAAGGTGCATTTGAAGGTGGATGACGAGCTCCTAGTGTCGCAATGTATTCTGTTTTTCTCTGCCGGCTTCGAGACGTCGGCGACAACAATGGGATTTACTTTGTATGAGCTAGCGAAGCACCCGGAGGTGCAGAAAAAAGCTGCTGAGGAAGTGGATGCGTTCATGTGTCGTCACAAGAACAAGCTAGTGTATGATTGTGTGACGGAGCTGCCTTACTTGGAGGCTTGTATGTACGAGACTCTGCGGAAGTACCCTGTACTAGGCAACTTGACCCGCGAGGTCATGGATGACTACGTTCTGCCTACAGGGTTGAAGTTAGATGTAGGTGTCCGTCTGCATATACCAGTGTATCATATGCACTACAATCCTGAATACTTCCCTGAACCTTACAAGTACAAGCCGGAGCGATTCCTGCCCGAACACAAGAATGAGGTCAACCCTAACACGTTCTTCCCATTCGGATCTGGACCCAGGCTGTGTATAGGTATGTAATCTTTATTATGATTGTAGTAATCAGAAGCTACACTTACTTTGTCATATTATTTATTTATTTATTTATTCTTTTATGTACACAATTTTATTATGGCACTAAAGGCGAACTTAATTATGTATTTAATTATTTTAATTTATTAGTTTTTAATGTGATAATCGAATTCTAAGCAGATATATTCTAAGAACTAGGTTATTATTAGAACTAGAGTATTCGATAATTAATCTATACTATCTACATCTATGCATCTATACAGATAAATAAAATTAAAGTGTTTATTTGTAATATAAAAATAATAAATATAAATAACTTTTTACTACATGCATGAACATACAAAAAATATCATCCTTTTCAATTTTTGTCTGTCTGTCTGTCTGTACTGGCTAATCTCTGGAATGCCTGGACCGATTTCTCAAGACTCTTATTGGCAGGTAGCTGAAGTACTAAGACGTAACATACGCTACTTTTATTTTGGAAAATTGAAACAAATAAAAAGTTATGTTAAAATTCATATTGTACACAGACGTAGTCATAAGAAAACTAACTGCTACCCACTAGCAGTTAGTTTTCTTATAACCTTCAATTCATTAATACCTACGTTCTTTACACAAGATTAACAGTTACATAACATTCCACTACAATACGATACCGTTAAGATATACCAACTGGAAACAGGAATTTTCGTAAACAATACGAAACTACTGAGTTTCGTAAAATCAATTTACGTGTTGATACACTTTCGTAAAATTTTCGAATGTACTCAACAAAAGAAGATAACATTGCCCTTCACTAGGTTGTCGTCTGTGTCTTGGGTGCGTTTATAAATATAGAATTGGGATGATGACAGGGTATAGAAATTAAAAATATAGGTAATTAGTCCGTAAGTAAGGTAATGAAAAAATATTAAACACGTATTTTTTATTCTGTCGTATAATAAAACAATAATTATATAAAACGAATCAAAATTTAGAAGTGGGGGCTAAAACAACGTCATTTCTACGTATCAAATGTTCGTAGAAGTGACGTCACGCGACATTTCAAATCAATATACCGTCGAAAGTAATCGTTTCTGTAAGAAAATAAAAAATACGTGTCTAATGATTTAAAATAATCTACCAGGCGGGCATTAAAATAAAAATTAGGCATCTACCCTATTGCACATATACATGACACCCAAAAACAACAAGTTGTCATACACAGAGTTGCTGCGTGTGGTTAACGGACCGGCTACAAGTTGCGTGGCAGCCGATTGTACAGCCACCGTGCCAACTATACGGTACAACGTTTCATTATTATGTTTCTTTCATAAATAGTTACACTTCAATGTAATAATAAATAAATATGTTCTACAGTCGGTGGCGCTGTGGGCTGGGTCGTTCCGTTCCCTACGAAATGGTTGATCGGACCGATTGCTGGCCTACACGTCATACCCGTAAACGGGTGCCTTCTGCTGGAACAGGTCGGCTTGCTCATCGTGCTGGTGGGCTGATTCAGTAGGGTTAGTCTAAGATAATAAGACTATAATAATTAGGTAACAACATAAAGTATTGTGTGTAGTGATAGTGGTAGTGGTGCGTAGCATGTAAGATCTTTATAAAAAAAAAAAAATTTGACCATGAAAATTATGTACTTGTAATATGACAAGGGCACGGACACGAGTCCGTGGAGAAATTCAATTTATTATTTATTAAAAAAACCCACTTTAATAAAAAGGAGGATCTCAATTCTACCTATATGTATGTATTTATGATCGCTAAACCGTTTTTATACGGTTTTCAGACAAGGGTGTGTTACACATGGGAGACGGTTTTAGTATATTAAATTCCAATTAACCCACTTAAATAAAGAGAGGGTTTAAGGCGGGTTTTTTGACGTAGTTTATAAAAAAGAAAGAAAAAACATTTATTTGACAATTAACACACACGATTATAAAAAATAAAAATACAGATATATAAACAAAATACTTATAATAAACTTAAAAGAATAGACATCAGAACAAAAAAACATCACAGTGTAGTAACAAAATAATAATACGATAAAACAGAATTTTGAATATACAAAAAAAAAATCAAAGAACAAAATAATAATATCAATTTGCATACAGTTGGACGTTTCTGCTCAACGCTGATTTTCAGGTGGGACCCTGTTGTTTTTTATATATATATACATAACAAAACGTGGTATTCTTCTTTGTTACAGGAATGCGCTTCGCAAAGATGCAAGTACTGTCAGGTCTCATCACCTTCCTGAAGAAGTACAAAGTGGAATTGGCAGACGGAATGGCAACAGAGTTAGATTTTGACCCCAAAACGATTTTGACCCAACCTCTGGACAATTGTATCGGATTAAAATTGACTGAACGTGAAGGATGGGAGCAAAGAAGATTTGTACGAACGTAATTTGTTCGTATACAGCTATAAGGCTTAGGTCACACTACGGTTAACCGTGGTCTTTTAATATGTAAGTAGTGCAGCCATTTTTAAACCGTGTAAGTTTATAAATAGGATACAAGTGGCCGAATTTCGACTAATTTTAAAACGCATTATTACTGCATTTGAATGTAGGCTTATCTTCGTTGCAGTATCTTTACAGTAGCTGAGGATATCTAGGGCGGTTTGGAAAATACCGTAGTGCGATCTAAGCCTAATTAATAAAGTATATAAGGCTGAAGAATTTATATGTTTATAGTAAGTAAGTTAATATGTAATTGTTTATTTTAATAGTTTAAATAAATAATCAGTCGACAGACGTAGTTGTCTCAAAGCTGTATGAAGAATGCCTCTATTCATTTTATTATCGGATTTAACAATAAATGTTTTTTTTATGTATTTGATGTGTCGATGTTTGACCACTATCTCGGCTGGTGGGCGAGGCGAGCGACTATAAATTAAATAATAATTTTGCATTCCGTTATATTTTTTACAATCTTTTGAAAAAAACGTATTGTAATTGAATTTACTGAACTGTTCATTTTGTTCGCTTTCCGTATGTATTAAATAAATTATTTAAACATTAATTTGAAACTTTTATTGCCATATTCTAAGAACAACTCCAAATATTATAATAACAAAACTTTGTTAATGATAGAATTTAAAATGATTAATTATGTAATTGCTAAATAATAAGCGATTTTACCCCGTAAAGGAGTATGTTCTTATACCAATATTTTTGTTCGTAAGCATTAGTATGTACGTAACCGCGGAGGACTTAAAGGTTTGCCGGGCTCGGGCTCGAAGTGCAGGAGTAGGAACGGGGTAGTTTTTAGTCATTAAGAGTCTGACTCCCTCTCGCCTCACCCGGACGGGAGAAGTCATTGGATTATTTTTCACCCTCAAACAAAATTGTATTATTATGTATTTAACCCCTTGACCTCTTATCTGCCCGTATATGATATGACACAATAGAAAACACATTATGTCTCGAGAAAAATATCTACATTCCGGCATACCATGAGTAAATCCTGGCATTATTGCATGAACCATAGATATAGCGAAACACGGTCATAACAAAGTAGTAAAATAAAAACGGGTGGTATTAATACTTTAACCGTAAATTCCCTTTTTTTCAATCAAAATGTTCGAAAATTACGCCTAGAATGACTTCGCCTGCCTTCGGTATTCTGAGGCCTTGGCTGACACTGAAACGTAAGGTAGGCCTACCTAACTGCATACTAAAGTATTTAACGACTGCACTATTTTTTTTATGGCATAAGCTGGTAAACGAGCAGACGGATCACCTGATGGTAAGCAATCGGCGTCGCCCATGGACACTTGGAACACCAGAGGCGTTACAAGTGCGTTACCGGCCTTTGGGGGATGAGGAGTTTGAGGATCGTTGGGGATTCAGGGATTGGGGAGATTGGGGAAGGGGAGGGTAATTGGGCCTCCGGTAACCTCACTCACACGACGAAACACACCGCAAGTGTTGCTTCACGTCGGTTTTTTGCGAGGCCGTGGTATCACTCCGGTCGAGCCGGCCCATTCGTGCCGAAGCATGGCTATCCCACACTTAAAACTGCCTTGGGTATTCTGAGACCTTGGCTGACACTGAAACGTAAGGAACCTAACTGCATACTGAAGTATTTAAAAATTTTGTTAACCCTTTGAGTACCGTCATTATAGACACAATTAAAGAACAATAGGTTGCGGTCACCGGTGTCCTCGCGGTGTTTGACAGTTTAAATGTTGTATTCATTAATGCTTAACAAAACCACACAGTCAGAAAAAAAACAAAATAGTAGCCAATGTATGGTGCACAGCATGGAATAGTTAGAAACAATGAACTGTCAACTCAATCAACAAAATACAAATTACTGTTCTGGGTGTCAAGTGTATGTGAACTTGTATGTTTGTAAACGCACCCACGACACGAAGTAGTGTCACGTTTTTATAAGTCTTTATTTATTTTAATTATCATCTACATATTTTATATTTTATTTTATAGACTAGCTACAGACAAACAAACGAAAATTCTATAAAGACTACTAACAAAAACAAAAATACTGTAGATCACGCCTCAAGCATTCTTTAAAAAAAAATCGATGTACAGTTTTCACTTTCTTGCGATTTTATTATATGTTTATAGTAGATTAATGGCAAAGGTCGAGCTTATTACATATACAACTTTCAATTTTTGAAATGTCAGTTTTAGATATTTTTATGCTAAAACAAATGCATACCTATTTTTAAAACTAAAACTGACCACTGGTTGTACTTTTTTAGAATCATAAGGTCAAATATTTAATTGTATTTATAGTTGTTTTTATGGACTAACACCCGAATATTGAAAGACTACTAAATTTTAAATTGTACTTAAATATCGTGCCATCTCTGTCATTATACAAAGAATTTGTAGAGACAGAACTATATATATATATAAGCGCGACTTAAAATTGTAGGTATTTAAGTGTAAGTAAGGGTAACTGTCCACGTTGCGTCATTTGACGAATGTATCCATCCTTCACAAACAGGCACACAAGGCGGCCTTTTTGTTTTTTTTTGAGGGGTAAAATCATCCAATCACTTCTCCCGCCCGGGTGAGGCGAGAGGGACTGTCAGACTCTTACTGACTAAAAACCACCCCGTTCCTACACCTGCACTTTGAGCGGGAGCTCCGGTAACCCGTTTAGTCTTCCGCGGCTCCGTATCGGCATCAGCCCTATTGTTGTATGTTTTTTGTCAGCGTTTTTCTTAAGCGTTTCATTTACACCCTGTATATATATTGACGGAACAGTACTCCGGAATACAGCATTGAAACCAGTTTTCAGTGAATCGTTTTTACAACCTTTACTAAATTATTCTGGGCAGACCGAAGCGCATATTATTTGCAACCTACCTACATTATATTTAAAAAAAAAACAAACGATAAACAAACACAATTCGAATTTTAAACTTTAACTTAGTGATCATTTATAACCTCTAAAGCCAACTAAAACTGCCTCACTTAAACCCATATCTAGTGACCTATAGTCACATTAGGTTAACAACTTACCCCTTACTATATACATTTCCGAAAATAACCCAATTATCAGTCATTTGTGTTCACGTCACACGGTTCACAAACGCTCGACTAGTCCCGGAGTCGGCGACGTGAACCACGAGTTATTCAACTAAGGTCATGGGCCGACGCTCCTTGACTAAACTGGGGTGAGGTCACGAAGTGTTCAGGTTGTAGTCTGTAGGGGTATCACGTCACTCTGAGAACGAATGTCACTCTTGTACTGGGACTCTTAGACTAAGTCTGTGTGAAGATTTTTAGGTTGAAATTACGTTTTAGGGTGTAGATTGGATCGAATATAAGTGGAGAGAGATCAGATTTAGAGCTGACTCTGTGTACTTTTCAGGGCATGCATTTTTGTTTTCATACCTTAAATTAAAATAAAAAGTGAGTCCTCATGATCTACATGTACATACATACATAACTTCATGCCTGTCTCCCATGGATAGGCAGAGGCTATAGAACGCCAATAGCTACGATTCCTACACACCTCTTTCGCTTCATTAACAGTCATCATCTTTTCATGCATGCTCCTCAGTTATTAAGTAAGTAGGTATACACAATCTGTGTAAATAAATCCGTTTAACAAAAACTAGTATTAATTCATGTAGGTGTGTAGGAAAACATTTTTAAGTACGGTACTCAAGTAATTCAAGTACTACCTACATGTGTATAAATAAATATTTTTATGTTTCCAAGTGTGGCAGAGCCATGCTTTGGCACGAATGGGCCGGTTCGACCGGAGTGATACCACGGCCGAGCAGGAAACCGACGTGAAGCAACGCTTGCATTGTGTTTCGTCGTGTGAGTGAGGCTACCGGAGGCCCAATTACCCTCACCCCCTCCCCAATCTCCCCAATCTCTGAATCCCCAACAATTTTCGAATACTTAATCCCCCAAAGGCCGGTAACGCACTTGTAACGCCTCTGGTGTACCAGGTGTCCATAAGCGACGCTGATTACTTACCATCAGGTAATCCGTCAGCACGTTTACAGGCTTATCCCATAAAAAATACACCTTAAGATATTTTTTATCCTCGTTTTTGTTAATAACAATATTATTCTAATGTGCTAATCAAAGATTTGTATCTACATGTAGAGGTACTTATGTATAAAACGTAACTGTTATTTGTGTTTATGTACTGTTATGGTTTATCGAATAAAAACTATAAATAAATAAGTCGGTAGGTACCTCCCTAAGTTCCTACATTATCAATCAATCACCAATTTCAGTTATTTAACTTGAGCTTTGTTGACTGTGTAGCTATTAATAAATAAGGTATACTATATAAGACAGCGTTTATGTTTTTTAGAACAAAATTATCGAGTACGTATTGTGTGTACATAGAATTTGCACGTGGTCAGATCACGAAGCCGTCAGTTCAATTTCAGGGTCAAGTACTAAATGTTTGTTGGGTATATTTAAATAAGCAATTATCTGTACTATTCTATTTGTGACCGGTTTATGGCTCGCTAAATTTTATCCTCCGTTCGAATTAAATAAGTACATAAATACAGGCGTTAATAATATGGGTGTCAGTGAACCAAGTACCTACCTATATGGGATAGTAGAAACTAAATAATGTCTTCTTACAGCTCTAGTACGCCTCAATCTAGTACAATTCTGACACAGAAGAGGCAAAAAAATATATTTTAAACCGTAATAATTATGTTTCCATTTCACAGCTTCAATTGAGAAGTAAATGACGGATCACGAACTATTGATTTTAATATGCGCCTTCGTTGCGTAATACAAATAAATAAATAATAAAAAAAATATATAATATGTTAAAGAAAATTTTATTCCAACTTCGTTTTCTGTTGATTTGTTTAAATCATTATCATCAGAATCTTAAATACAAGACGTCCATTATTGCATATAGGACTCCCCCAATGACATATGC